TGAAATCAAATGGCTCTTCGTTCTGATGCCGGTTCTCGGACCCTCGTTCGGTATCCGAATACTCCGAATATCTTCCATAATACGTCATTGACTTCCTTCAGCACAAGAGGTGAACTAAAATTAACCCCAATTCAGAAACCACTAAATACCTGGGAAGTGCATGTCCATCAAATTGCTGAAACGCTAAACTTTAGTCAAAACAATTCTCATTGACTTCCTTAAACACGACAACTCAGCAAAAATTAACTTAGTATTAGCAAGCACACCAAATTTGGAATTTTGGAATTTAAACTAAGTCAATCAAATTGCTGAAACAGTGGAAATATAAGTGAGGCACGAATATGACCATCAGCAGTTTACATTCAGGCTTTGCCTCGAGTCAAGAGATATATTTCTGAAGAATTTTGCTGGAGCATGGTAAGTTGGCATCGTGAAATTACTGTTTGTATAATATTCTTTAACTGGTTTAGAGAAGAATAACAAAAGAAATCGAAGCATGGTAAGTCGGCCATCCCGATATAAAGAGGATATTGCCTCCTCGGCCGCTCAAGATTTCAAACAAGTATCTTGAAACACTTGATGAAAATTTTCAAAGAATCCGCCTCTATCAAAAAATTACAGTCAGGTATGGCGAAATTAGAACAAATAAGAAGGAAATCTACTCCTGTTTATAGAAGAACAAAGATAGTCATCGCAAATTGGAAGCAAATCCTCTGACACATGAGGCAAAAGCAGCACTTTGATTGGTTGTTTATGGCAGCTTTAGTCTGATGAGTGTCACGTACTCACTCACTCACTCACTCACTCACTCACTCACTCACTCACTCACTCACTCACCTACTAACCACGTAGTCAGTCTCGACGACTAAGAGGTATCTCTTTGACGTTCGTCCTATCGTTCGCGTGGATGCCGCTATACAGTATCAACAGAGACTCCGTTTCTGAGTGACGCCATTAAAAAGTATTGAACGAAATAATCGCACTTCTTTGCATTTTCATGTTTACTGAATTAAGTGTGCTTGTTGGTTGCCGGTCTCTAATGTCAATATTTCTTTATTTTTCTTTTGTAGGCATTTCCTGTTCTGAAAATGCTTTTCACCCTGAACGTTTTCTTTCTCATTTGTGCACTTCAAGTGAATTGCAAAGTAAGGACTTTAAAACACTTTTTGTCAAAGGTGTCATTTTAATGTGTCATTGTTTAGAAGTTATTCATTTGAACAATACCTTTCCTACACATTTTCCTTCAAGATATGGTATCAATGCGAAAACGATGTCTTTTTGACATACGAGGCGATATCAAAGTTTTACCCCCCAAGTCCGAATTTAATGTTATTTTCCAATTCAGTGCTGTTAGCCGATCATGTACTTAAGGATAAAATTCATCAATGTGGTCTGCGACCGTGTGAAAAAGGAAAAAGTTAAAGATGTTTATCCATTTTTTCAAGAGGATGAGATCTTCTCCTTTTTGATGAATAAATAAGAAAAGACAACAAATATTCGATTTTCTGTTTTCTCTGACATTTGTTTTCGATTTTGGTTCTCTTATTGCAGGTCGAAAAGTATGCTTTGAAAGTTGTTGAGAATGGAACAAACGTCAATGAGGAGGTGGAAGTGGATGTGGACGAACAAACAGAAGTGATTCGTGTACCTAAACACGGCGAGGTGAATGCATTGGAACAATTAAATGCTTTCATTGAGGTAATTTCTGAGTCAATTCAGTGTCAATTACAAATTAATTTCATCTGGCGAAGTTTCTTATAATAAGCAGATAAATATTTAACTAAGTTTGGATATCGTAGGAAAGTTGTACATTCTCTTTTAAGGAGAACCTTTCTCATAAAAGTATCGAGGCTGAGATTGACCAAAATTCTAAGAAAATGTTAAGAGCATGCATTAGAACAACTGTTTTTTTAAATTTTCCCTACTCATTTTTGCATGGAACTCTACGAACAGTAGTCCCCGACATCTTTCTAAAAGTTAAATTTAAAAATGTGGCATTTGAAATGTTTCAGCAAATGTGAACTGTAGGTGAACTCAAAGTCACAATTTGAATTCCTATCGCATCGTGATTATTTCTTTCGTTTAAAATTGCAAATGTTATACAACAAATTTGTAAAGAGCAATTATATTATTCAGAACCTCTCAAAATTAGACGGTTGGTATATAAAGGGTCTTTAAGCCAACTCGTGATATTTAGAAACGGGCATTTTCGCACAAACATATGACAACGGTGTTACAAACGTATTTGTGAAGTTTGTATGTTGCGTGACACGGCAATCATTAACTTACAAATTCAAATGGAACCCTTGAGCTGTTTCGTTTGTAACCAATGAAAATGTAAAATGCATAGAAAAGCCGCACTTTATTTTACGCCTCCTCGCCTTACAATTACCCTAACGAGTCGAGAGCCATTTTGAAAGTCGTCAATCAATCTGCGTTTCTTTATTCTTTCGAGCCAATAACAGATGGGTTGCGTTTATATAGGAATTGGAAAACAAAAATGTNTAATCAAGAGATGTCATGCAGCAAACGGCACAACACGGAACAAGCCTGCTAAGAAGCGGACAAGAAATGTGAAAAGAAAAATCAGAAAACCCCTGAACTTCTCTTCGGAGAATGTACCTGTTGTAACTCATTCGTATCAGCACAGGGCTTCTTACCCTAGCGAATAATTCGTCCGTTGGCGAATTCACAACAACCACAGGAACGAGAGCTCTTCTTCGTTCGTCCATGCTTTCCACATAGCTTATATGTCTTTCTCGACAGACCAACGAAACACAAGTAAAACCCTTCACTGTAACGGCAAACTTCTCCTTTGAAACGCATTGAATATAAACTAACTAGGTACTCTTAAAAGCAGAAGCCACGGAATGCAGACAAGTGTGAAAGCACGCCATGGCTTCATCCCGAGAGCATGGAATAAATGATGACGTCACGTACGCAGTGATAATATAAGCCTAAACCAGATGTATCATGGGATACTATTGACCATAGATTAAAAACGTGACAGAAAATTGGCGTTTCTTTCGATTCTCACCAAATTTGGACAGTGGGATGATCTCAGGCCAATTTTCCAGCTCTTTTCGTCATATCCCCCGCTCGGGAGAGTTTTGTCAAGTTAGCTAATTTAGTATGCAAGCCACCGTAATGGCGGTCGCCGTAGGCGAAATGTTTATTTGCTCAAAATTGGGGCAAAATCTTTCGGAGATAGAAGTCAGGACATTTGTAAGGA